AAGGGTTTGTGAGTTCAGATTCAGACTTTTTTATTTTTTTACAATATAAACTTCTACTTTCACGAATCACCCGAAATGTTTATGGAACACTTTGTGTTTATTCTTACGCAACTTTCTGTGCATTTTTAACTGCAGCTGTTTTCAGACTGAAACGTTCTGGAGGTTCCGTACACGAGTCAAATGTTTCACACAGGAAGTTGAAATTCTACATGTACGCTTCGGGTCGGGTTTGTGGTTTGAAGAGTCTCGACAAACTTAAGTTTTAGTTCCGTCCAAGTTATCAAAAGTTAACTTTGCCTAACTTGTTTTCTCATGTTGGTTTAAAGAGTTTTACACTTTCTACTTTGGAGTTATAGCAGCCAGTGAATTTAGCTTAGCATGACACAGCTCATTTATTTAATATGTTAAAAAAACAAAGTGTGAAAATGCCGATTAACAAATTAAATTTCATGAGGGGTTTTCAAGTATTTAATTTTTAAGCAGCACTTGGTTAATTAGTCTTAATTCTAAGTGAAGATAACGAGCTCCTCCATGTGTGGAATCAATCTCTATCGAGATAAAGATCTTTGACTTGATCTTTGCCGGGATGTGACACTTTGACCTTCCGACCCCCCTCAGCACCGCGGCAGCTACAAGATGAGGCTGTACGAGCACTTCGACATGAGCGGCCAGATGATGGAGCTGACGGACGACTGCCCCAACCTCATGGACCGTTTCCGCCTGTCCAACTTCAACTCCTGCAACGTGATGGACGGCCACTGGCTGCTGTACGAGCACCCCCACTACAGGGGGCGCCACTACTACCTGAGGCCCGGCCAGTACAGCAGCTTCAGCGAGTGGAGCGGCAACAACTCCAGGATCAGCTCCGTCCGGCGTCTCACGGATCTCTAAAGACGGAAAAACGGTTCTTGTGAAGTGTCTGCTCTTTGCCTTGTTTCACACGCTGAATAAAATGGCGTCAGTGCTCAAGTGTTTTCAGTTTTGTTCTTGCTCTCTGCGGTTGGAGGGCATGTTCTCCCAGGAGGACGTGACGGGGTCTTGGCCCGACGTGCTGACCCTCCTCAGCGGACTGAATAAAATACTCCAAGCACTGACACTCAACCACACCAAGACTCGAGCGTTATCTATTTAGAGCTGGACCGAGGTCTCTCTGCACATTTCACCCAATTACTTTTCTTTTTTTTGTGTCAATGTTGAATCTTCAGGTTGATTCGTGTCGTCCAGTGTCCTGGTGGAGGGTTTTGATTTGTTTCCACATTAAATGAGCAAATATAAATATACAAAGGAAAACTTCATACAATATATTATGCAAATACTGTTTATGTAGCTGGACAAAAACATTCATCTCCACCAGGGGGCAGTGGTAGAGAGTTGGAACAAATAAGACTACTGTTTGTACTTAGCAGTACTACACTGTACAACAAAGACTCAGTTAGATAATATTATATCTTCTATAACATGATAATAATAAAAAGGTATAAGGTAAAGTCACTGTTGACGATGTTACGGACACAAACACGAAATAGATTCAAATCCTCATTATTAAAACAGAAACAACAAATTAAATTTACTGGGTAAAAGAATAGGTGAAGAATATCCGAACCGGTGACATCGAAGAAAATAAAAGACCACGCTGTAAGTTAGATAAAAACACCAGCCATTGTTTCATATTAAAAAATCCTCTGACCACATCACAAGACCGAGCGCACACTCCTGCTCTCACCTGCACAAACATCAGAGCGTTACTCCTCTTCAGGAACAACTCCCGGGTATTTCAATATGAATGACACGTGCAGAGTCTGCACTTCACGTCCGCTATATATGTGACAGGTGGGAGTCTTCGGAAGCTCGATGATCACACGGGGCGCAGCGGCCGTCATGGGGAAGGTAAACACCACAGCTCATGTTGATGTGTGAAGCAAACAGGCCTCCAGGCTTTCACAGTTTGATTCTCTCAATTAAAGGACGAGGACTAAATTGTCCCGGAGGAGAAAATGACGAATTACATCGTGACTCACTCTCTGAACGTTGTGATTTCCACGTGTAGATTATCTTCTACGAGGACAAGAACTTCTCCGGGCGCCAGCTCGAGTGCAGCGATGACTGTTCGGACCTGATGTGCCTCCTCAGCTGCTGCAACTCGGTCAGAGTGGAGAGCGGCTGCTTCATGATCTACGAGAAACCCAACTACTCCGGAAACCAGTACTACCTGAGGAGAGGGGAGTATCCTGACTTCCACCACTGGATGGGGGTCAGCGACGCCGTCAGCTCCTGTCGCCTCATCCTCATGGTGAGACACAGTTACACGTATGACAAAAAGTTACATGTGTATGTTAGTTACGCTGAGGAGGTTATGTTTCCGTCGGCATTTGTTTGATATTTAGCAGGATTACGCAAAAACTACAAAACCGATTACTGTGACGTTTTGTGGAGGGGAGGAGCATGACCCAAGGATGAGGCCGTTAAATGTTGACGTTAATTATAACTCAATGCTAACAGCTACAAGGTCGTCAACAATGCTGTATGACATCAGTGCTAACATCCACGTCATGCTAACACGATCTCAATTACGCCGCCGGCATAATGACGCTTAGCAGGTTCAATGTTTGAGATCATCGTTGTCCTTCTTTCAGAAACTTAAAGGACAGAGGACACAGATAAAATCTGACTGACAGGTTGGTTGATTAACTGATTCCCGTCTCTAACCAGGAGCCCGGCTCGTTCAACCTGCGCCTGTATCAGCGGCTCGAGTTCGGAGGCCAGATGATGGACCTGGTGGACGACTGCCCCAGCGTCATGGACCGCTTCCACACCAACGACATCTTCTCCTGCAACGTCACCAACGGCAACTGGCTCTTCTACGAGCACCCAAACTACAGGGGCAGGATGTACCTGATTCGGCCCGGGGAGTACAAGAGGTTCAGCGAGTGGGGGGGCAGGAGCGCCAGGGTCGGTTCCATCAGACGCATCATGGACTATTGATCCCAGATCTGCGTGGAGGGTCTGGAAAGACCTCCTGTTCAGATAGTGGCATGTAAGACAATTAGGAAGTACAAAGTACTGCAGTAATACTCTGAAGCATCACTAAGCGTACCTGAGAGTAAGAGTAAGAACACTTGACATCAGGAGGGACTCGTGAAAAAGACTCATTGCAAAGAACTCACCTGAAACCACGAGGAACAGCAGCAGAACATTCCTGGAACCTGATCCGATACTTCTGACAACAAGAATTTTCAAAATGGAGTCGTCACGGTCGATTCAAAAACACGTCGGAAACCGAGATTGAAATCAATTATATTATTTGTATGATGTGTTGGAAAATGTATGTTCTCCATCTGAAGTAAAAACTTACATCTTTTTCAAGTCGCTTCATGTCCAGATTATTTGATAAAACATATTCTGTGTGATGGATGGATCGTACAGATGATCATGTGTCGGCCTTTGTTAAATATCAGTTTGATCTTGCTGATGCAGGACGCCCTCCATGCATCAGACCATTGTACGGTGGCATTTTCGGGAGGAAATTGTGATGAACATGGAGGAAAGAACAAAAACTCATCACACCCCCCACCCCCGGATTCATCATCACTGTGAGGGATATATTTGAATGACAATACTTTATGCTGTGCAATCACCCGGCCGCCCTTTCTTTCTTCTTTTTTTATAAAGCACAGTGGCTTGGCTCAGGGACAGCAGTCACCGGTGATGCAGTCTGATGCCAACATAGCCATGGGGAAGGTAAAGGAGACTAAACGCTGCTGTATTCTACTGCAGGATTGATTTGGTTTATTTATTTTTATGCAACCGTTGCTTTCGCAGATCATATTTTACGAGGACAGAAACTTCCAGGGTCGCTCTCACGAGTGCAGCAGCGACTGCGCCGACCTTCACTCCCTGTTCAACAGATGCAACTCCATCAGGGTGGAGAGCGGCTGCTTCATGGTCTACGAGCGCCCCAACTACATGGGCAACCAGTACTACCTGAAGAGAGGGGAGTACTCTGATAACCAGCGCACCATTGGCATCAACGACTGCGTCAGGTCTTGCCGTATGATCCCCCAGGTAGGTCGCAGAGCTGGTTTTCAGGTTTCATTTGAAAGTTATGTTAGAATATCGATAAATATTCGACCAATGTCGTGTTTTTGAAGATGTTAAGCGCTTGTTCTTTAAAGATTAAGAGTTTAAGTATGAGTGATGATTTCTGGACAACTATAAGAAGCGTTGTTTGTAACCATTGGCAGTAACGGTTTTCTATCCTGTGCCAGCACCGAGGTTCCTACAGGGTGAGGCTCTACGAACGCTCCGACATGTCCGGCCAGATGCACGAGCTGGTGGACGACTGCCCCAACGTCCAGGACCACCTCAGCATGTCCGACTTCAACTCCTGCAACGTGATGGACGGCCACTGGCTGCTGTACGATCAGCCCAACTACAAGGGCAGGGCGCACTACCTGCGGCCCGGAGAGTACCGGAGATACAGCGACTGGGGGGGCGTCAGCCCACGGGTCGGTTCCCTCAGGAGAATCACTGACTTCAACTGAAGTCCAGCTTTGTTTCAATGCATCTCTGCCCCGAGTTCAACTGTCGTGTTCCCTGAATAAACTTCAGCTGCTTAATAAAACGTTAATGTTGTATTTTGGGTTTTTTGCCAGTTCTGGTTTGTCGTCTGCACTTCACATCTCAAGATTTGACAGTGACCAGAATTATAATCTTCTAAAATACTTATAT